AAAATGAGGACCTAATGTGGGGGTTTAAGTGGAGAGAAAATATTTTGAGAATGATGTACAAATGCGCTTTACACAATTGATGTGTGTATGGATTGCGATAACAGTTGTATGTGTCCCTAATAAAATGTTAAAAAGAAAAAAAAATTCCATTAAATTGAAAACAACAGTCTCCTTTGAATCTTTTCCCACTCATAGTGGCCCCATATATGTCAGAATAAAACTGTTCTCCATAGGCTGTTCAATAGCTATTTTTGAAAGTAGATCACCGAGCTTGTCTTCCACAATGCCTCTGGGTGAACTTCCACCTCCAAGCTTTCAGCTAACAGCTGACCACATTAACCACCTGCACCACCTAAGGACTCTAAATTAGGTTTAAAAAAAAAGAAAAAAGAAAAAGATATGTGCCTACAACCACACAGAAAACAGCATAAAAGCAACAGTCAAGAGAAATTAACACTGTATGAAAAAGGAAAGCAGAAAGTTATAATGGAGTTCAGAAGTACATGATCTAAGAGGGCTGGGAAAACTAAAGCTAAATGGTGAGTGTAAAACAATTGGCAAAAAAGAAGTGGAAGACAGCGCCAAGAAGAAATACAATTCTCACTACGAAACCCCAGAGAGGATTAGGACATGAAGGAACTTGATACTGCTCTGTAATGTTGAGACAAATGAGACAGAAACGGGAGGGCTGGCTGGAAATGGAAACCAATCTCCTAAATTCCCTTACATCAGCAACCCAACCAGACAACTGTCAATACTCCTACCACAGGGAACACTAGAAGCATGGCAAACGAACATTAAGTAAAAGGGAACAGACTCTCCTTAAGGACCCCAAGCCCTCCCTCCTTTCTAGAAGACTTCCTAGAACAAGGGAAGTCAAATTCCTCTAGGGAAACTGAACAGCCCAACAAGAGAGAGGCAGATGCTAACAGATGGGATCCTCGCCAATTACTCTACAGAGTAGCTCAGCACGTCACAAGGTCTACCTGAACACAGGGAAAACAAACTGCTCATTTTAGGATTTAGTTCTTGTTTCGTTTGTTCATGTGCTTTTTTGCTTCATCTATTTCTGCTAGGGCTACTGGACAGCAAAAACCCAAACCACAAATAGGCAAAGGTAAAAAAATGCTCCACAGCAGGCCCACTGTCTTTGCCCAGCGAAAGGGGAGGGAGAGTCACATAAGAGCCCACCGCCAAGTGAACTCTACCAACAGAGAGCTACAAGCTTTTATTTCTTGTTGTGCTTTGATTTGTTCTTTTTCAGTGGTTTGTTGTTGTTTTGTTGTATATTGTTGCTTGGTTTTGCTGTCTTGTTTTTGTGCATGTTATTATCTCCACAGGTCTGTCTAAATAAGATAGGCT